TGCTCAAAAGATTATCAAATGGTCGAGTGAAACACTTGGTAACTGATCAACAAGCTTATACTTTATATGTAGAAAAGACCAAACTTCTCCAAAAGCAAAAAGAAAAACAAATAGGCTATAGACTATTGTCCTTTTCAAGCTACAATTAATTGTCTGTAATTATTGCCACTCATTACAATCCCACAATGGAGTGTTGCCTATATATATATATATATATATATATATATATATATATGGATGTTGCTGCGGTACGTTTAGTAATCAGAGAAGAGGTATGGAAAGTAAAACATATGGTAAACAAGGCGGCACGTTGCAACCTGACATGCACGGATCAAGAAGAGAATATTTCTACAAAAGCAAGTGGTGAGTCTGGTGACCTATAACCGGGGTTTGGAAATGTTGCGTACTGCAGAAGCTAAAAATGTGTTGGGATGTCACGAAATTAATATAAATATAAAGGGGCTAAGAATAAAACATTTGTGAGGAAGCGTAAGCAGTACTAATTACTAAACAAAGCCATCGTGGGACCACTGATTATGGGCATTACATCAACAAACTACTATCTATTTATGGGCATTTTATTCTGAATCATTGCATTTATGTAAAATACATAAATATTTTGGATAGCACGGATATTCACACTAGTTGTCCTTGTACTGAGTTTTATGGGCATTTTACTCTGAATCATTACATTTTGGATACTACTTTGATTAGAATTTAGTTTAAAGACATTCACTGGAATTTGGACGTATCCAGAGAGCACCGATCGATGTATGTTCAAGCGTAAATTGAAATAAATATGCAACTTAAAATTTTTAAAAATAAATTACTACTGCATATCCGAAATTTACTTTTTGGAGAGTAGGTTTAGTTCATACTATTTTTTATAGTATTTTAAAATATATAAGTACAAAAAATTTTAAATTATACCTATAATCATGTATTATACGAGTATATTATGAGTACTTACTAACTAAGGTACTAAACTTTAATCATTAATAAAACATCTTATCGTTATTTCAAATAAACTTTTTAATACTAGTTTGAGATAAGTTTTAAAGTAAAATAGTGCATGCGTCCCATAAATCAATAAATCTTGATTATTAATCAAATTTGCCATGTTATCAGTAATAATTACTATTTATGTATAAAAACTTACTATTACTTGAATTAAACTTACTAAGGTATATTATGAGTGCTTACTAACTAAGGTACTAAGTTTTAATCATTAAAAAAAACATCTAAGTTTTAATCATTAATAAAAACATCTTATCATTATTTCAAATAAACTTCCTAATACTACTTTGAGATAAGGTTTTAATGTAAAAATTGTACATTCATTCCAAAAAATGGTAAATTTTGATCCTTAATCATTTTTATTGCCATATTATTAGTAAGAATTACTATTTATGTATAAAAACTTACTGTTATTTGAACTAAACTTACTCTTTTAAAAGTAAGTTTGGGATATCAAGTAGTAATCTATTTATTTAAAAATTAAGTTTAATATTTATTCCAATTTACCTTTGAGGTATAAAAGTTACTAATCTATTACACTTAACTTACTGTTTTAGATAGGAAACTTACTTCCATAATTTTAGGAGTTATTTTATTTAGGTGAATAGGTCCAACAATAAATCAAATGATCGTTAAAAGTGCAACAACATGTTATATCAGGTAAAAACTATTTCGCTATCATAACTATCGTTTAGTATCTATATCTATATGTATTGCTGAGGAGGGTTTTGGATAAGGAGCTTCCAAAATTATCAAAAGTCTGAGTGCTATTTTAATAGAATTTTACATTTTTATAATTAAAAAATATTTATCTCTTAACTAATCATGTAACCGGCCCTACAAATCCTATAATCATGCTTATATTTTTTCCACATTTCCCTCATGTTTTTTCCACTACCCCATAAAATTCAAACTGCTAAACTTTAACTAACGGATAATAACCACCCCTGTAAAATGATATCTGCAAATTCCAATTCACATCTCACATTTATTACTGACACTTATCATATCACTTAGAGTAATAACTAACCGTTAATTTAAGAAATTCGCAACTACGAAAGTCAAATATCCAAAATTTAGGAGCCTGCTTAAATTACAATTTTCACAATTCAACGTATCTTATTGTCATAATATATTTTACTCTCACAATCATTCACAAATTATAAAGGCATTAAAAATAAATAATTTTTTTAATAAAAATTAATTCAAAGGTAGTTAATTCACACACACACACACATATACATATATATATATATATATATTCTCATAATGTATATATATATAAGATTATCAAATCGAATGCATAATATTGGTAAGTATTTCATTTTAAAATAAAAAAAACATGCAATTACATTTATTTCTATCTATATATCATTCATTTTCTAATATAAATTATTATTATTATTTTAAGATCCATCTTTTGCAAAAACACAATTCTTGAATGATTTACAGTTTTTTTCATACTTTGAACTATTGTTAGATAAATCTTAAATTTTAATTATGTTGGTATAATTTTTTTAACTTTTTTCAAATTAAAATGGTATAATCTTTTGATTTATTTTAATAATGTAAGCACCGTGCTACGATATTCACACTAGCTGTCCTTGTATGACCGAGCCTGAGAGTTTGAGCATGTTTTGGTTGAATGTTATAATTCAAAATTTGGGGTTTGGAGGGAATAGCTTATATCCATTGTAATCAAAACTCAAACAAATGTGGGGATAAACCTGATTGTCACAACAAACTATACAAATGTGGGGATAAATCTTAGTTAGTAAGTACTCATAATATACCTGTATAATAAATGATTATAGGTATAATTTAATATTTTTTGTATTTATATATTTTAAAATACTATGAAAAGTAACCTTGTAAAATATATAATAAAATTTTGTCTTATCATAAGTTTGTATTCATTTTCAATTTTTGAAAAGTTTGAAAGTTTGGATAACAATAACAACAAATCTTCCTAGTTACACGTAGAATATCACTTGTTTCTATATCACAATTTTTATAATTTAACACCTATGAATATAATAAAATAAAATTATTATTTTATAATATGATAAAATTTTATTATTTTCTAAGGTTATGTGAAAGGTCAAAATATTTTTCACAGAATATTTTAAAATATATAAGTACAAAAGAATATTAAATTATACATATAATCATGCATTATACAAGTATGTTACGAGTACTTACTAACTAATGTACTAAGTTTTAATCATTTATAAAATATTTTATTGTTATTTCAAATAAGCTTTCTAGTATTAATTTGGTATAAGCCATAAAGGATTGAGTGATTTGAGTCAGTTGCTTCTGTGTTAATTTTGACTGTAGTTAACGAATTCAATGATTTAGTCCGTCTACCTTAGGTTAGTGGGAAAATGGGTCACAGTTGGCTGGAATAAAATTGTAATAAACCCGTTTTCCAATAAAAAATCAATTCTTTATCGCTTTCCTCCATTATAAGAACAAAGTACCCCTTTTCCTAAAAAAAATTTATTTATCGGATAAAATAAAAATAAACCCGTTTTTCAATAAAATTCTAACTCTTTATGCCTTTCCTCTATTATAAGAATTGTGCACCCATTTTGCCATAAATAAATTTATTTATCAAATAAAAAAATTTATTTATCGAAAAAATAAAAATAAGCCCGTTTCTCAATAAAACATCAGCTCTTTATGGCTTTCTTCCCTTATAAGAAAAGAGTATTCATTTTGCCATAAACAAATTTGTTTATCAAATAAAATAAAAATAAACTCTTTTTTCAATAAAAAACTAGTTCTTTATGACTTTCCTCCATTATAAGAATATAGTACCCATTTTTCTAAAAAAATATTATTTATCGAATAAAATAAAAATGAACCTATTTTTTCAATAAAACACCAACTCTTTATAGTTTTCCTCTATTATAAGAACAAAGTACCCATTTTTTCATAAATAAATTTATTTATTGGTTGAAAAAATAAATATATTTTTCAATAAAACACCAATTCTTTATAGTTTTCTTTCGTTCACTACAACAAAAAAGGGTATTAGCGACAACAACTTTAGCAAGAAGTAGAAAGGTTGACGCTATTAAGAGGCTTATAGCAAGGAAAAGGACAATACTTCACCAAAAATTGGAGCCATCATATACTCTGCGAGGGCAAGGACTTTTTTTCGGTTAAAATTCTTACCAAACAGGGGCGGAGCCAGAAAAAATTCTTAGTGGGGGCAAAGTAACACTAAAATCTTTTACCTACTCTTTTTCTAGTTTTTTAAGCAAAAAAAAAATCACCAACAAGTACAAATGATGCATATATTCCATGAAAAACATAAAAAGACAAATTCAAAATTATTAATGTAATAATAATTTTATTTCAAAAACAAATTAAACTATTTACAATTGCTCACTTTGAGTTTTATATTTTGATAACTAATTTGGTTGTGGAAGTAAGAATGACTCTCGGTTGTGGAGGAAAATGGGGGACCAGTGGAGGGAAGGGAAATTGGGAAATGAGGATAAAGGAAGTGAATGATATGATTGGATGAATTGATCAAGAGAAAGAGTAGCTAGCTGCTTGGTTGTGGAAGGTAGTGGCTCTCGGTTGTGAGGGGAAAATGAGGGACCAGAGGAGGGAAGGGAAATTGGGAAGTAGGGTCCAAAGAAAGTGAATGATATGATTGGTACTTGCTAGTTAAAATAAAAAGGTTTTTTTTAGCTTATTTTAAATGGAATTTATGCTCCACGTATTTTTTTAGAATTTTAATTTATGAACTAATTTAAAAAATCACGTAATTCTTTCACATCCTTTCTAAAAAAACTCTGGAGACACACTTAAAATTATATTAAAATTGTACAAGTACTATAGGAATTTAAAGGGGGCCCCACTGCCCCCACCTTAAATCCACCCCTGTAATGCCAAAAGAAGTGCGGGAAATCTTCCCTCCAAATACTGATTTTTGCCAAAAGAAGTGCGGGAAAGCTTCCCTCCAACTCTACTGAATAATATAAGTACAGTCCAAGCCTCCAAATTTGTCTGAAACCCGTTGCTGATTTTTCCTCCTCTCAAAACTTCTCCAGCCACCAAACTTTACTGTCCTTTTTCCCCCTCTTGATTCTTCCATCTCCAACGGAATCAAGCTTCATAATAAGAGGGGCTTTGTCTTAAAATCATACATTTTTTTGATTAGCTATTTAGCACAGTTTTTTCAGATTCTGGTAAGTTTTTTCTCTGCAACTATCCTTTGCTGAATTCTACTGCTGAAGTTATCTTTGATGCAAGCTTCTTTTGTGGGGTTGAAGGTTTCTGTGAATTTGATTGTTTTAAGCTTGATTTTAAGTTTCAAATAAAAACCATTTTACAGAATTTAATGGGTTTTACATGTTTAATTGAGCGCAAGGTAAATTTTTGGGCTAAAAGTAATGGAGTTCCTTTGTTTTGATGGTTTAGGAAGGGAAAAGGTTCAGACTTTGGAGATAAAATGGCGACGGGAGCAGTTCCGGCTTCTTTTACAGGTCTAAAGAGCAGGGAAAATGGATTGGGTTTTGCAAAAAGCATGGAGTTTGTTAGAGTTTCCAACACTCAAAGGGTTAAATTTCGTCGAACCAAGGTTTCCGTAATAAAAAATTCAAATCCTGGACAGGAAATTGTTGAGCTTCAGCCTGCATCTGAAGGGAGTCCACTATTAGGTATAATTTTTCAAAATGGACTATGCTAAGATGGAGTTTTGTGAAAATTTATATTCGCAGTTTACTTGCTTAATTAATTTAGATGTCTTGATTCGTAACAAATTTTATCAAAACAGATTGTATTACATGGTGATTTATGTGATGAGGCTTGAGACTGGAAGACCTTATACTTACGTATAGTTTGATCTTAAAAGTGAATGAGTAGTTCTTTTTACAAAAAAAAAAAACTTCTGTATGCTGACTGTTGCTACATTCCTCTGGATTTATCATCATCATATGAAGTGGAACCTCGTCATTTTCTATTCATTTCATATTTTCTCTAACCCAATATGATGTCCCTAACATCAATGCTAGAATGATTCTTTTTGTCACTGCTATTTTTGTGGCAGATGCTACTACAGATTTGCCGTCCGATTCTGCAAGCAAATTACCAGTGCTGCAGATGGGTACATCACTGGCTGTTTCCTTCGCTATATGCAAGGCTTCCACTTCTCTTACCAGATTTTTTGGAATTCAAAATTGTGATCTTCCTGTAATCACCACAATTGTTGTGATTTTAGCAACTTCTTTCCCTGGTTATTTTCGCCCCATCGCACCTACTGCTGATGCTATTGCTGTGGCCTTAATGCAGGTAAACATAAAGCTACTCTAAGTAGTCTCCTTTTTCTTGCATACCTCTTTGGATTATTGCTTGAAACATTAACCAACCTATGAATGTCAATACTCCATTGAGAAATGCTTTTGGTTCTCTGGAAGGAGATGTAACTTCTAATATGAGCAACAAGTGTTCTTGAGCTCCACAATATTGAAAGAAGGGGAAACATGTAGTCCTGCAAGTGTTTTTTTCATCTTGCCTTTGAATGACATATTATTTGCAAAGTCATTACTTTTTATTCAGACACGTTCTTCCTCGGTCACTTGATCCAACTTCCAATGTACTTTATCCAGGGCTCAGTTTAAGGCCATTAAATGTGAAAACTCAAAAGCCCCATCCAAGTCATAAGCTCAATGAATTGCTTCATTTTGTGAGTAGGGTCAGATTTATTTAGTTCCATGTTGTGGATAATTAATCCGCTGCGTAGTTGTTCAATCAATGACTCCTTTTTCTTTCTTTTAATTTTAATTTTTTCCCAATTGGGGTTAAACTGTGAACAGGTATTTTTTGCTGTTGTGGGCGCTGGAGGGAGCATATGGAATGTCATCAATACTGCTCCAAGCATTTTTATGTTTGCATTTGTTCAAGTAACCGTCCATCTCATATTGATACTCGGACTAGGAAAACTATTTTGCGTCGATCTAAAGCTGTTGCTTCTGGCATCAAATGCTAATATTGGAGGTCCTACAACAGCATGTGGTATGGCCAAGGCCAAAGCATGGGACACTCTGGTTGTTCCCGGGATTCTAGCAGGAATATTTGGGGTATCCATTGCAACATTTTTAGGAATTGGGTTTGGAATTCTAGTTCTTAAACACTTGTAACTTGTTTGCTCATGGCCAAGGCCAAACAAAGAATGGGACTCTTTGGTTGTTCCTCGAATTCTAGCGGGGATATCCATTGCAACATTTTTAGGACTTGCGTTTGGAATTCTACTTGAAACACTTGTTTTCTCTGCGGCCTTTATATTAATTGTTTTCTATGGTACCTAAGAGCATCCCTATGTTACTCTGTAGTTTCAAATGTGATGACAAAAAGCTTCCGCTCTTGTAAGTTGCGCATTAAAATCAGATGCTGCACCATATCCAAGTCTTACCACAGGGATAGTCGACTTGCATTTTTTTGGCAGCTTCACTGCAGATTGTACACTAAGGTATGCATTATTGTACGCTAAAGGCAGCCGCCCCAAGAAACTTCCACAGGCTTAATATATATATATAAAAAAAATCAAACATTCATATCCTACCTCCCATTACAATCTCGAGAGAGAGAGAGAGAGAGAGAGAGAGTTGGTGGGCCATGACAAGCAAAAAATACCAAGGCCCTAGCGCATTAATCAAACAAGGAGAGCCGAGCACTTCAACCCATCAGCGAAATCAGATTTTTCAAATTTCCTCCGCGAAAGAGAGGAAAAAAGAAGGAGGGGGGGGAAGGAAAAAACGCATTCAAAGGAATTGAATTTCTAACTAGCAGCCTTCACCCAAAGAGGAACAAGGCAGTTCGCGACACGCCATGTTCATTCTCTTCCCGGTGATGGCAAATACACCAGCTTGGAGAATGAGTTTATTTTTATTTTATCCGATAAACAAATTTCTTTTTGCCGTCAAAATGGGTACTCTGTTCTTATAATGGAGGAAAGTCATAAAGAGCTGGTGTTTTATTGAAAAAACGGGTTTATTTTTATTTTATCTGATAAATAAATTTGTTTATGAAAAAATGGGTACTCTGTTCTTATAATATAGGAAAGTCATAAAGAGCTGATTTTTTTATTATAAAATGGATTTATTTTCATAAAGTATCACTTTCCCATAAAAGACCAGCTCTTTATGATTTTCCTCCATTATTAGAACAGGGTACCCATTTTTTTATAGCTAAATTTAAAAAACGCATTCAAAGGAATTGAATTTCTAACTAGCAGCCTTCACCGAAAGAGGAACAAGGCAGTTCGCGACACGCCATGTTCATTCTCTTCCCGGTGATGGCAAATACACCAGCTTGGAGAATGAGTTTATTTTTATTTTATCCGATAAACAAATTTCTTTTTGCCGTCAAAATGGGTACTCTGTTCTTATAATGGAGGAAAGTCATAAAGAGCTGGTGTTTTATTGAAAAAACGGGTTTATTTTTATTTTATCTGATAAATAAATTTGTTTATGAAAAAATGGGTACTCTGTTCTTATAATATAGGAAAGTCATAAAGAGCTGATTTTTTTATTATAAAATGGATTTATTTTCATAAAGTATCACTTTCCCATAAAAGACCAGCTCTTTATGATTTTCCTCCATTATTAGAACAGGGTACCCATTTTTTTATAGCTAAATTTATTTATCGAATAAAATAAAAATAAATTTATTTTCTAATAAAAGACCAACTCTTTATGATTTTCCTCCATTATAAGAACAGAGTATCCATTTTCTCATAAATAAATTTATTTATCAGATAAAATAAAAATAAACCCATTTTTTCAATAAAACACCAGTTCTTTATGACTTTTCTCCATTATAAGAACAGAGTACCCATTTTGAAGGCAAAAAGAAATTTGTTTATCGGATAAAATAAAAATAAACTCATTTTTCAATAAAACATCAACTCTTTATGACTTTTCTGCATTATAAGAAAAGAGTGCCCATTTTGTCATAAACAAGTAACTTCTTTAATTAGAAACCATCGACCCCTTACCAAAGACGATCAAATGCAGCAAGATGATTTTTTTGCAAGAAAGTTGCTAAAAGCAGCTTTGTGACTGTAGTTGCTACTTTTTTTTCAACCATTTTTTTAGCAAGAGGTATCATTAATGTCAATATTGAGATATAGCAAAAATTTCTATGAAATAAATTTTAAGGAAGCATAAGGAAGCCTACGAATAAAACACCGAAAAAAAAGCATAAGCAGTACTATCTATTTACGGGCATTACATCAACAAAATACTATCTATTTATGGACATTTTACTCTGAATCATTACATTTATGTAAAATACATAAATATGTGTAACTAAATTTGAAGAACTGTTACACTAATATTTTTACGAAAGGAAAATTGGTTGTCCTGTATTTAACATAAACTGATTTTTATGAAAGTAAAAAATATATTGCCCATAACATACCTATTCTTTATAAATTTTTTTTTTTTGCATTACATCAACAAAACACTAGCTATTTACGGGTATTTTATTCTGAATCATTACATTTATATAAATACATAAATATTTGTAACTAAAATTGAAAAAGTGTTACACTAATATTTTTACGAAAGGGAAACTAGTAAATTTTATATTAAACAAATTTTAAATATGTGAAAGTAAAAAATTTTTGCCCATAAAATACCAGCTCTTTATGAGTTTTTTGCATTATATCAACAAAATACTAACTATTTATGGGTATTTTACTCTGAATTATTACATTTATATAAAATACATATATGTTTGTAACTAAAATTGAAAAAGTATTATACTTATACTTTTACGAAAGGAAAACTAGTAGATTTTGCATTTAACAAATTTTAAATATTTGAAAGTAAAAAAGATTGCGCCCATAATATACCAGCTCTTTATGGATTTTTTTGCATTACATCAACAAAATACTAGCTATTTATGGGCATTTTACTCTGAATCACTACATTTACGGTGTTTTATTTCTAGACCCATTATACATATGTTAATTCCGTGACACCCCAATACATTTTCAGCTTCTGCCATACACAACATTTCCAAACCGGCCCGTGCCTGTTATAGGTCACCATTTGCTTTTGTAAACATATTTCTTTCATCATCTGTACATGTCAGTTTCTTTGACATATTCTTTACCTTTCCACGTGCCTGCTTCTTTGCCATATAATTTACTTTCCACACCTGTATTTGAAATATGTGAATACACTACAGAATTTACCATATATATATATATATATTGATAAGAGAATCTGCAATCTGCTATTCGAGAGTGTACATTAGGTAAACTCCACTCTATATAATAGTTCGTCAATCACACGAAAAGATAAAACGTACTAAGCAAACCTATATGATGGACAGATGTCTCATGAGAGGTTCATAGAACAGTGTTGCCTGTATTTTGTTTCATGAGAAACTATAGGATGAGATCAAGAATACATTGTGGAAGTTTTAGCCATAGTTAATTAAGTTATCCCAATTGATTATAAGCTAAACAATTATATACATTGGTTGATAATTAAATTTTTGAATGTGTCGTCGTTTCTGTTTAAGTGCCTTTATGTGTCTACATTTACATACACAAAACATATATAATTCAACAATTTGTTCATCATAAACATTCATTTTAGTAGGTAATTTAATTCCAAAAAATAAAAAATAAGTACGTATTTACATATATATATATACACATCCTCATATTATATAAGATTGGGTTTTGGTCAAAGAATAGGTTGAATTTCAACCGCATAGGTGGGGGTTTTCTGGGAATGTAAAATATTGTGTATTAGTTTAAAAGCTTTAGGTACAAGTTAAGGAAGCATGTATTTGGGTATGTTTACTGAAATGGCCCCATTTAATACATTTAAAGTTGTCATTGATGAGCCATCTGGGTATTGATGGAATGTGTAATTAATGTGCAACCGTTTTTACATTTTGTACAACCCATATATGTTTGTGTGTTGGTGTAATTACCGGAATAACTCTTAACAACCAATAATTCCCCTTTTCAGCCGCAGATAACTATTTGAGATGTTGCTTTGTTTGAAACGTTTGAATGACAATCGGATTTATGAAATGTGCCAACGATTTCTCTATCATTTATAATCTGCATTTATGAGCCACAAACGTTGGTTAGTTTATCTCTTTCAGTTTCAGGAGTTAAGTTTTCTCTTTTTGCCTTTGTCTACAATGATTTGCCTCATCGTTTTCTCTTCCATCCGATCTCAACTCTGAAATTACCTATTATTTCATCATTAATTACACCCAATTCAATTGCCGAACTGTTGGTATGTTAATGCCTAAATGGTTGATTATCAGTTTCTCCCTGTTCGCATTCTAGGATTGAGATAATTCTACCTGGTTTCATACTAATCAACTCAGAATGCTCTTCAATCACAGCTACCTGGTGGTTCAGCGTGAGGTTAGATTTCACCCTCCCAATTTTTCAGTTCCTTCCTTAATTTTGTCGATGTGTTTTTAATACCTATAATTAGCGACTCTTATCACGTTGCCTAGCTACAAGATAGCATTTTTCTTGTCGCCTAACTCCAATTGGTCTGGGTTGATTATAATCTTATAGATTTGAAGCAACAGCAAGAAAGAGCTTTCGGTGGAGATTCTGGAATAAGGTTAGTTTTATGTGTTGCTTTGCCTTTCTGCATTTTCAACAACCTTCAATTTGACACAGTTTTATTGTAATTCTGTATGAATTGATTGATTATATCGTTTATTTTTTCGTATTAAATTTTATTTCTTCTCACAATGTACTATTGTTTGTTTAACAAAAAAATCTCGTTCCCTACAGGCACCAAACACCCGCGCGATGCGCAGGCACTCCCCTCCCAGTATATATTATATAATCATGTTGTATGGATTAAGCTTAGATTGTTAGAGGATAAATGTGTTCAACTTTCCAATAATTCATTCAATTCAACTTAAGGACCCACGAGAACAAAGATGAGGCTGCCACCTTCAAGCAGTTTCGTGGCGAAGTGGGCCTGGAAGAGTTAAAAATAACAAATAAAAATCAAATGAGATCCGACCCAACAAAAGTGAAAATGACCTGATGCTTATTGGGCTTATTCTATACTTGTGGGAAGGATACGATTTGATTTTTTTTTTGGTAATATTTAATGCAAATTAGGTATGCAACTCCATCCACTCGCTCAAAAGTCTCCAAGATACTCAATAAATAGTAATTAAGAAATGGAGTGATGTGATGACAATGACAACTTTTGTCCTTAGAAAATGATAAGGACGACTTGTATCTT